GGGTTTGCATTGATGAATCCTCGTGGCGTATTGCTTGCACTGCGGTTTACGGATGGAGTCCAATTGGTGAAAAACTTTTCGTGACAAAGGCAAAAAACGGACAAAGACTATCTGCTTTGTGTTCAATAGACTACACAGGAATGGGAACAACTTTTTTGGTTGCAGGAAAAAGTGATGAAGAGGTCTTCAAAAGATATTTTATGGAATTGATGAAACACTATGACGACAACAACATTTCAGCAGTGTTTTGGTGTGACAATTGTACTATACACAACCATTTGAGGGAACTTGTAACCAACACTCATCATTCAATTGTTTATAATGCAGCTTACAGTCCTGAACTCAACCCAATCGAAACTGTATTTGGGTTTTGGAAAAGGCGTGTAGAAAATGACATACGTATTTGGACTGGCCTTGGCGATCTTCTTGAAAAAATAAAAAATGGATTTATTTCAATTCAACCAGCTGAAGTAATAGCGTCTATGGAGAGATGTCGCAATGAAATTTGGGCAAAAGCATATGAAAGAAAAGATTTGTAATTTCAAATTGTTTGTTTTTTATGTGTAAAATCGGGAAATTTCGGAAATAAATTATATTTTATTAAAAAATCCATCCTTTTTGTTAAAAATGTTATCCTTTTTCAAAAAAATGGCTGTCACATTTTCTTTAAATCCATCCTTTTAACAAAAATTCCATCCTTTTTATAATAAATTCCTGTCCTTTTTCATGAAAATCATCATTTCTTTCGAAATTCGTCCTTTTTATCAAAAATCCTGTCCTTTTCAATAAAAATACCTGTCCTTTTTAAAACAATTCTCCATCACTTTTTATGATTTTCATCCTTTTTATTAAAAATCTTGTCCTTTTAAAATAAAACCTGTCATTTTTAAACTATTTTCCCATCATTTTCAGACGTATTTTCACTGTAATATTTTTTATAAATTATTTACCAAAATAAAACAATTTTTAATAATAATAATAATATAGTTATTGTTATATAAAGTAGTAATAATTACTATAAAAATATATAATATAATTTAATAATAATAATGGTTTCTTTTTTGTCAATTAATAATACTTTTTATATTAACAAAAACACCAAACCCTATTTTAAGTTATTATTTTATTACATAAATTATAAAAAAACTGGTATTAAATAACTATTTACCATTAATATAATCAACAATAAATTATAGTAATATATTTTACTAAAATTGTAATTAAATGTACTATACTAATTAATAATAATATTTATTAAAAAATTTACCTATTATAAACCATAAATATTTTTATCAGAGCACCAATTTTAATTACCATAATATAAGACTCATATCTCTGATTTCTGTTCTAATAAAAACTTCAAGTTTCGTGAAATAAAACCAAAAAGATAATTTCACTGAATTAAAAGGCGAATAAAAGTACTACCATAATAAATATCATGACTTCCATAAAACCTTTATTTTCACTATCTGGTACAACTCCACCGGCAACATTGAACTCAGAAATGATGAGTTTATTTCCATTGTTGTCTGGTGCTCTTACCCAGAAGATATTACCACTACTCAGAGTTCTAAATGAATCATCTCTATCACCCCATCCCGTCACTTCCGTCACCTTTTCAAATGGATTTGTCATCTTCACAGACGCGTCGATCGTTCCCAAGTAATAGTCCTTTGATTTATCCATATACCCCACAAGGAACTTCTCTCCATATTTTGCGATGCATCCATTCGTCTTATCAGTGTCGCTTTGCTTAATAAAAGTCACTTTACTCCTCTTTTTGTCCTTTCCAATAGACACCACTCCAATGTCCTGAACTCCATTAGGTGCGCCCGCATTGACGTCAGTACCCGCTTCAGGCGTTATAGAATTCATAATGAGTAACCACCCATCCCCATTCTCAGCAACACCACCAAGCTCTCCGCCACTATATCCCCCCATATTAGCAATATGGGAGTATAATCTTTTGTTTTTGTCATTCTCTGCAAACATTCCAAATCCAGGGTAAGCGTCAGAGTCACACAAATGGATCATCGACTGTGTTTGGGAATTGTAGCCTTGAAGACCAGACAACATATGTGAACATCCCCAATTCCATATTTTTGATACTACACCCGCATCTGATATGGTAAAAAGTACATCCCCTTCGTGCTCAACTTTATTTTGATCGGGATCACTGTGAGTGTGCGTGTACACGTGGTATAACCCATTCCCATAATTCACACGACTGTCACCGATTTTATAGCCATTGTTGCTGCCTGTATTTTCAACACGAGATGGAAACCCACTCCTCAAATCAAGTGCTTTTGTAAAGGCTACAGTTCCGTCTTTATTCACTTTTTTAAAGGAAATGGTTTCGGTTTTTCTGTCCCATAGAAGGACACCATACGTCCCATCTGCTTCTGCAGCTAGACCTCGGACATTAAGTCCACTGAATTTATCCGTGCGAAGAATTTCATTGGTATGAGATTTAATCTTGATTACTGTACCGACTAAATTCTTGTCAGTATATCCAACGTAGTAATTATTGTCACCATCAAAAGATGGGTAAAGTCTTGTGGATATTTTTGAATAAGTATATATTCTAAATACTGTTTCGGGACCTAATAAAGTGGACGGAAGTTCAACTTCATAGTTGGCTATCTTCTCTTTCAAAACAGCAGTTGAAAGTGCGACAAATAGAGCAATAAACAGCATTGATATTATCAGTTATTTTTATGAATTTATTTCCTTCTTTATTTTCATTTTGTGAACTTCTTTTTTGAATTGAATAATACTAAATATAGTTTCATTTTTTGTGAACGTTCTCTTCAAAATATAAAACTATATATAATAATATTTATACTATAAATTATATTTTGTGAATGAGTATGAAAAAATTATGAAACTACCATCTTGAGAGATTTTTTGTGTTATTTTTTAAAAATAACAAATCAAAAACAATAATATTTTTATTATAATATAATACTAAAATTATTAATGAAACAAACAGTCAATTTCTTGAAATTATTGGTATTAAAAAATAATTAATTATGATTTATTTATAAATTATATTTTCATTTTTACGATCTTAAATCAAAAAGTGTTTACAAATACAAAAAAGTTAAATCCATATAAAAAATTATAGTAAATAATAGTTTTTTTTTGATATTTTAATATTTATACTTTAAATAACTTTATAAAAGTTTTCAACAACAATTTTTAATTTGGTGGTTGTTTTTTTAAGTATATGTTGAGAATACTTCATAACCGAACTTAAAAACCATTAAAATAATTGTAATAAATTCAAAGTAGTAAAAATTGGGATTTAATCAATTGATATGAGGCAAAAAGTATATTTCAAAATACAGTAAAAAATTAAAAAAAACTTTGGGTTATAAATAGTACCTGAAATAAAGTTCATTGTATTATCACTTAAAAATAACACCAATTTCATGGTTAACCCGATTCAATTAATTTCATTTTGGCTGTAAAATGTAATTAACTTACATAGTGACCTGAAAACAGAATAAGTATTTTATCAATTTAATATTTTTAGATTTTAGACTAAATAAAATTTGTTCTATATTATTAAAAGTGTTATTGTTCATTTAATCAATAAATACACAAATGAGTTTTAAAAAGGGAATTGAGAAAAAAATCAAAAACCAAAACGTGTATTGAGTCATTCTTTTAACGTTATCTAGTGGACAAAAAAAGATTATATTTTATGTAATCATTAGGCACAAGGTAAAAGGCGAAAAAAAACTGAAACAATAAAAAATATTAAAAAAAAGATTTCCCGAATTACAATTGTTTTGTATTACATTACAATCCAAAATACCAAATTGGTTAGAGACCAGATTATGTTTAAATATCGATTGTATTTTTATTTTGAAAGGATTCCAATTTTTTTATCTATATTCACAAAAAAGCCTCAGACGTTTTCTAAAATTTCTCACAACATTTTTTTTGTGATTAAATCGATTATATAAAAAAAACTTAATTGGTGTACATTTTTGTTATAATAAATAATTTATAATGTTAAGATATTTTAAATATACAAAATTGAATCAGTTTCTCATATTATTTGAATTAATATTAAAGTCATATCAAATCAAATAAATTATATTTAATTAATGAATACAGTCAAACTTTATTAAAATGATTTTTCTATTTAGTGGGTTCTATCAAAAATAAGCACATTAAGTAAATCAAACATTTAAAACCATTATATAAAAAACTGATATTATGTTTTTAGTAAAAAAATAACCACTCTCGAGAAAACAAAAATTGCCATATACAGTTACATTTGAAATGTTTGACTGTAAACGCCTTAAATTTTTTAGGAGCAGTGTTTCTTTTAATTTATATCACAACCTTATCAATAAAACAAAACATTTAAATAACTGATTGATAAATAATAATTTTCATAAATTATTTATATAATTATATAAATAATATATAATTTTCATAATAATATTATTAAAATTTGTCTGAGATATCGTTTTTTTATAACTTATAATAACTGTTGTGTTATAATTGAAATTATTTAAACAAACCAAAAACAAGTATTAATGAATATAAACAATTTCATAATGTAACCACATGAAGATACATATTTCCGTTTAACAACAACATACTGATAATCACATACAAACGATATATTATATGTATACGTTTTTATCCATCATTTTAATATTTTTCTTATCACAACACAAATAATAACAATTTAATGTGGAGAACATTATAACAATTAAATAAAAAATCAAGTACAAAAAATCACAATTTTAACATTTTATCGATTCTAAAAAAAATTAAAAAACTTTAATATACTATAATATACTATAATATACTATAATATACTATAATATACTATAATATACTATAATATACTATAATATACTATAATATACTATTGTAAACCATAAAAATAATTTATAAAAAAAGACCAAAAAAAACAGAAAAAATAATTTTTTAAAAGAGTAAAAAAAAGAAAACTGAAAAATAAGAAGTCAATTAATGACGACAAAAATGGGACTAAATTTACGACAAATAGATGGAGAGTACGATCTTATGGAAATTCAGGAACACTTTATGAAAGGTGGAGTTCTATCGACGGATTCGGTCATGACTCTCATCAAACAGGCAAAAGATATTTTAAAAAGTGAACCCAATTTAATTACTGTGAAAGGACCATCCCTTATTTTTGGAGACTTTCACGGACAATACTTTGATTTGTTGTATGAATTGATGGACGAGTTTGTTACTCACTGATTATAACAATCTTTAATGTATATTAATATGATATAAACATGAAATAATAAAACATAAAAAGAATGATTATATTATAAGTTTAGTCACAATTATATGGAGAAAGCTTTCTATATTACACTTTGAGTAATTTAGTATTACACAATTTTACAATAAATAAAATAAAAGTGACCTTTATTTTTAATCAATTCAACATTTGTGCTATTAAACATTTTACCACCTAAATTTTATTTATTCAAATATCATCAATTTAGCTACACAAGAATACCATATTTAATTTAATACAACAAATCTCATATTAATATACAATTTTAAGTTTAATGATTCTTTATTAGTTTACTATACTCACTTCACTTCTAATTTTCTTTTTTAACACCAAAACTATTTTGAATATATATTTATTATAAAATTATTATTATATTATTATATATTTTTATTATTAAATACAAATTGTATTTACATGTATATAACACTTTTATAATATACTATAGTTTATTTTTACTATTTAAGTACGATAAATGGTTGTAACTTAATAGTTTATTTATTAAATAATTAATACAAATGAAATTCATCACTAGCGAATGGAATAAAACGCCGCACAAGACCCTTTTCCTTGGTGATTATGTTGACCGTGGACAATTCAGTTGTGAGACTCTTTTGACACTTCTTTGTCTCAAAGTGAACAGTCCGACGGATGTGTATTTACTTCGTGGGAATCATGAGACTCGAGGGATGACGGAGAAGTTTGGGTTTAAGAATGAATGTATTTGGAAATACGATGATGCGGTTTACAATGCGATACTTTCTTTATTTGATTGTCTTCCATTGGCAATAGTCCTTGACTCTGACATTGGCCGATTCTTCTTATGTCATGGAGGGCTTTCCCCTGACCTCGACGTCATCACACAAGTCGTTTCTATCAACCGCTTTTGTGAACCGCCTCATGAAGGGATCTTCTGTGATTTATTATGGTCTGATCCATTGTCTGATGATTACATTGAGGACAATCCCGACTGTGAGGATAAGTGTGAGGATATCACTTATCTTGACAATGAGATGCGAAATTGCTCGTACATCTATGGGAAGAAGGCAATCAGTCAATTCAACGCAACAAATCAGATCACTTCGATTGTTCGTGGACATCAATGTGTGAACGGAGGTATTCAAATGGAATTCTTCGGAGGAGAAAAAGAGGGAAATCCACTTGCCTTCACTATATTCTCAGCTCCGGGTTATTCAAGACGAAATAAAGGCGCCGCTATGCTCATACAAAACTCGGGAATTAATGTGAGAGTGTATACCCCCTCATGCCTCCAAGACGACTTCAAACCGTTACTCGCAAATGCACTCAGAAAAACAACTCAGGAGATCGTTTCAAATGTCTCAAACTTCGCGTCCGATTTCGTCCAATTTGCTTTCGCGTCGAGAATCACATCAGATGAGGAAAAATCAGTCATCGACTATAAAGGTCTTGTCAATGCCGTTGGCGGCTTTGTTGAGAAACCAAAGAAGAAAGTTATGAAACCAGTCAAAATGAATCTGGGAAGTACAAAACCTACCAAGAAATTGTCGGCAAGTAGTTCCGGAATAAAAATGGAAAGTAAAAAGAAGGTGTCCCTTGCGGCTTCCGTTGCAACTGAGAAACCAACTAGATGTTTGTTTTTATATTATATATTATAAATATATTATATTAAAAATATAGTATTTATATATTATACTATTAATTATTATAATTTAATAATTTAATTCTTAATATAGTATTAATAATAATATTATAGTTTTATATTTAGTATTCTATTAATGCTATATATTATAATTAATTATATATTATAATTAATTATATATTATAATTAATTATATATTATAATTCATTATAGAATTATAACTATCAACTTGAGATATTAAATATTTACAAATAGATGAACCGAAAAACATCAGAGAAGAAGCCATGCCAATGTCTTTGTCCGAGCTTAGAAAGAAATGGGAAGACACGAAGAAAAAGTAATTTATACTTAAGGTGTTCTACTGTTTATGTAAATTTTTATGTTAACAAAATGTAAATGTCAACGTTTTTTTTTAATTTATACGTTATTAAGAGATTAGTATTAAAAATATTATTTAATTTATTTATTGTTTAGACATTATAATTGTTGTTTTTTTCATACATTTTATTGTCATTTAAACATAAATTATTCAAAATAATACT